GTTATTCAAACTACTCCCACCTTACCTACAAAGAGGACAACCCACAACCAGACCTTGTCTTTCCTCAAGAAAGGCTTTCAATGCCTGTCAGGTCACTGTCAGGTACAGCATGCATTGCCTGTGGTGTTAGTAACCCTACCCAGCAGGAAACACACAGTGCACTGTTTTCCCAAGTTGTTGGGGAATTCCTCTGCCCATATTATACCATTATGGAAATCCCTGTGGAGAGGTGTGGCAGAAGCCAAATTTCTTGTCAGTTAGCATAAAACCACCCAGATAGCTTATGCACAAGAGCTGATCCAGATTTTTGAAGACACAACAGGTGTCTGTGCTGGGGAAATTGCCATCTGGTAAGTTTCCATTGGTAAGAGTAAATACAGATATGGTGAGTGCAATTTTCCAAGATGAATGCCAGAGACCAAAGGGGGAAGATAGCTTGGCCTCAAAAACATCAATAGACTTTTCCTGGTCAAGTGAAATAGGCCCAAGCACAGTTCTCAGACACCACATAAATGTGTGTCTGATCTCATGTAGGCAGGTGAGCTTGTGTGCTGTCAGGTCCATCAGGTCCTGCTTCTGCTTCTCAGGAATGAGGTAACTTTCAGTTACTTCAATGTAAAAAAGTCCACAGCTTTTCTCCTGCTTTCTCCAGATGGGCCCTGGTCTCCCAGGCCTTCCCCTGACAATCTGGAAAATGCAAATCAGACAGCTATGGGGGAGGAGCTGCTATTTTGCAGCTTCTGTAGAACCTCAAAATCTTCCTTTGATTCTTCAGAAGAAATGAAATGTAGATTGTTTCCTTGAAAAACAGGATCCACTGCTTTGGAGACAGCCCTTCATTCCTAGGTTCCTTTAAAGCTGAGGACATCAGACACCTAATAGGGTTAATCACACAAACCAATGGCAAGTCTCAACCTGAAGGCAGTTCTGGGTCCTGTGCATCTGCATTAAGTGATGCAGAGTAATTCCTGCCTAAGCACTGTTTCCACACAGCTTTACGAGTCCCCGTAAAGCTACACCAGATCCCTGCAGCACTGCCCAAGTGTGAAATCATGTGCTCAGCAGCCACACTAGATATCCTATGTTCTGCTCCACACGTTCTGGGATTCTTCTCACTACGCACTGTGGGATACCAACCAGCAAGCATCTACCCCATTTCTCAGAGTACCTTCTTTTTCTCATCCTTGTTTCTCTAATTGTAGCTATTTTAACTGCAATATAAAGGAAAACTAAGGAATTCTGGTGCAGTGCTGTAATTCCAACAGTATGTACCAGTGACACTGCTGAACAAGACCCTCTTCTGTGCAGGAGAAACTTGACAGGACATGCAGCAGCTCACTGACCCCCGTTGGCCAGCAGCCTTCTGGCTTCTATCACAGCCTAACACCAACCTTCTGATTCATTCCTTGCAGTCATGGAGCACAACAGGCAATGGTTCCCCTAAGGTCTGCAGGGCAGCGATGTGGTGACCTGATCACACAGACTGGGCTCTTCTCCATGGCAAATAAATGCCAGACCTTTGAAATCAACTGCAAAAGGAACTAACTAAAGTTATAGCAAAAGCACCTGGAACCATGCACATTCTGTTTCCATGATGACTGTTTGGGAAAGCTGCACAGGGAGCTAGTTTGGAAAAGATTCAAGGAGTGAGGAGCAGCCTATAGCCAGGCAGGTACCGCAATGAACGCGGAGAGGCAGCAAACACCATCAGATGCAGTGGCTGTCACAGAGGCCAGGCTTCCTGCACACTGCTGGCAAGACACACCTGAAGGACCACCACTTCCACTAATTAATTGGATTTGAAGACTGTGGTGGGTAATCCCATTCAGAGAAAATGCATAATATACACCCATCACCTCAGACCACATCAATCACTTGTTGGAGCTCTCTCTTCTGCTCTTGAGTGCTGGCAATCCCTCCCTGCTCATGGTGGCACCAATTCTCCACAATCTCTTTCACACTGTCCAGTCAGAAAGAACAGTTCTCATGTGTAAAGCCCTCCACTCACATCACAACTATACCACCTAACAAAAATCTCACACAAAGGGTACCTTTTCTACATAGGCATCTAATCGAGACCGAACAATCAGCACTGCTGTTTGCCAAAAATCTGGAAGGAATTGTAAAGAAATACAAGCAACTTTGGTTTCATTGGTATTTCCAGTTCCACCTGCAAAGGTGAACCACTACTGCGGCGTGTTACTAGCCTGCTCTACCAGTTACTCCTGGAAATGATGCTCCAATCAAAAGAGCTATTTCAGCTAAATCTTCTGGGTAAGCTGTTGCTTTATTTCATGTTCCTGGTCCTTGTAGCCCTCCTCCTCCCTTGGCATTATAGTTGTGGCAACAAAAGTGTATAAAACAGGGCCAAGTGCACCCACACATGCACTAGGCTGCTCAGAGAAACAGATCTCCCTTTCTGTCACTGAAACTTGCTGCCCCAAAAGCAGCTAAAATGGTGCTGGGGATCACACAGGGATGCCACTGCTTCTCCTCGTTCGTGGAACTTCACTCTTCCTCCTGATGCCTCCAGAAGGCAGGACAGCCACTACCCGGAGGATAGAATTCTTAACATAAGCAGGGATTCTCCATGTGCTGTGGTGGTTTTACATGAAGAGTAGCACATGCAGTGCCATTTATCCCTGCAGTATCAGGCTGGATATCTCAGTGCTTTGCAGCTGACCTCCACATGCACAGTGTTCTCCTTTCTTGCTCTTTTAGATACCTGGGAACTGCACAGTAAACTATTCTGGACCAAACAACTACTGGTTTTTGATGTGCACACAGTTTGGAGTGTCAAAATAAAGAGGACATGTGGGGAAATGGGAAATCACAAATACTGTTCACTAAAGACATTCCATTAATTTCACAAATGTGTACACTGAATTTAACAATGAAAGACATAAAAAAGAAACTAAATTCATCCCTTTTGTTGTTAAAGAGATATAAATAACTTCAACTCTCTCACCTACCTTGCAGAGATTAGAAGATGGGATCCAAGTACTGGCAAGATAAGCAACTGAATCAAAACACCTTCCACCCACCTAATAAAATTAATTTCCACTACAGGAACATTTCAGCCAGATGACCTGGTGAAGGAAGACACTTCCATCTATTTTTCGTAAATGAAATTTGAACTCTGATTGCCCACTTAAACCTTTCTCACTCTCCACTGCTGGATTTTTCTCCTAAAGAAGTGGATGAAGAGACAATAGATACTGGTGGGCTATGTGATGTTACACAGGTGCCACATATCAAGCCAGCCATTTATGTGCCTGGTCTCAACCTGCAAAACCCATTTTCACTCAAGCTTAAATAGAGATTCAGCCAAGTGATTAAATGGGGGAAAAGGATAAAATTATTTGCTACACAAACTTGCTGGCTTGTTCCATTTCCTAACTGCCAGATCAAGTACTTGCCAAGGGTGGTTTACTTGCTCGTCTTCAGAACTGTATACACTGGGATATTTTTTGTTGTTGTTAAAGATTCAGTGAAACTTTCACCGATACCAATGAACCAACAACAGCTTCCCTTTGGCAATGCACAGAGAAATGCTACTTGTAACTGCAGTGGCATAATCCAAGCTAAAGTTCCTCCCTCTTTTTTGGATCTTCCCTCCCCCCAGGTGAAATCTCGAGAACAACCCACAGCAGACATGACGAGACAGATACAGGGCATTGCTGAAACTCTGAATCATGGCCTTGCCACTGAATCTACACCTTTATTGCAGGCACAAGGTCCCGTGTTTGAAGAGAAATAAACAAGAAGGATGCAGGTTAACATGAAACACTGCCCAAGTTACAGCTTTTTTCCTCCCCTACCTGCTAAAGCTAACCAAACACCTCAAAATTCTCTGTACTTTAGTACAGAGAACTTTACAGAGAACTTTAGTTCAGCTCTGAAAACAGAAAATAGAACCTTTTCTTTGTGATACCAGAAATCCAGGCAGGATAAGGGGGAAAAATTTTTTTTTCAAGCTGTCCTCCAAAAGATTTTTCCTGGAGCTCTGTTGCACACATCCAGTTACACATTTCCAAACACATTCCAAGACAGTCGCTCAGCTATACTCATGCAGGTAATTTCACAGACTTCAACAGACAGGTAACATGCATGATGAATAAAACCAGCAGCGAACTAAGGGAGTGATGTAATTAGAAATACACACAGCTGGCTAAAACCATTCTGAATATAATTAAGCTTTGAAACATTATGCCAGCCAAGATGTTAATAACTGTGGAAAAAAAAACCTGTGGGTGATTTTCATACTTATCAAAACAAGGAACTGTTGAGAACCATTAATAATGTGGGTAAATGCTGTCTAAGCTTCCCACACTCAACCCTGCCAATAAGTGCAACAATCCTGCTATTCCAGTCTGGAGCTCCTCCAGAGCAGAGATATTTAATCAAGTTACATTGTGAACTTGCTCTGCAACAAGTTAAACATAAAAAGATCAATATATAACAACAATTTTTATCTGTTAGGCTTGCCTGGACCAAGATATTACGCACTTTAGATGAGCCCACATTAAACTTTAGCATAAAGCATATTTCTAAAGCCAAGTTATCATTTTCACAGACAAGTGTAGAGGAGGAGAACAAAAGGAGGCTTTGAGAAGCTGTGGTTTAATAACAGTTGCTATGAACAGCAGGAGACCCTATGCTTGAGAAAGAGCAGAAATTGTTTTCATTGATTACTTTTCAAACATTCCACAAACTCAAAAGATTAAAGGAACTGGACACAAGCACCTTCTACACCACTGCCAAAGAGCTCATCTGTGTCTCTTAGGGGTTGCTGGTACCTGTAATTAAAAATGACACTTTGTCTCCTAACTAACAAACAATTTAATAGCAGATAGATTTGTGTTCTTATTTAAGTAAACACAAAAAACTGAAAACAGTCTCATTTGAGACACTACCTAGTCCAAAAACTTACCATGAGTGAATGCCATGAACTTCAATATATTTATCCAATGGATTTGTATAAAGAGTGTTTCACTAACCTTCAAAGTCCACATCCCCAACTAATTTGGTTTTTCCTGTAAGAGGATCATGGATATGGTTGATGCCTACGTCAATCACAGCTGCACCTTCTTTGACCATATCAGCTGTAATCAACTTTGGGATACCTGGAATCATAAACACATATTTCACTACCCCGGCCAGGCAATCTGAAGTTATCACTTTTGAATGATATCAAAGGGTGTGCATGCACAGCTATGCATGCACAAAATAGAAATCTACAACATTGAATATTTCTTGATACACTCCACACTGAACACAGCTATTCCTCAATTGCACACTGTTTGTAACTACTACTAGAGAAAAGAGAAAGAAAACCCACAAAAAACATCCCACCAAAAGTTGTGCCATGGGATTGGTTTTGGGTCAAGAAACACACTCAACCAGTAGGCAATTTGAACTGTTACAGTAATCCCAGCAGACAACACTGATCTTCCACAGGGACAACAGACCATTTCTTGCTCTTTACAGCAATTCAGGAGACTTCTGCACTTGACCTGGGAAGCCCACCCTGGGCACTGCACACATTATGGCCTTCATCTCTGTGTGGGGTCCTGGAGTAGGAGTATTTTGCTATTAAAAAATTCCAGCTGAAAGAGCCACAACAAACCACCTCATCTTTTTTCATATGCACCATATTTCTCCAGCACATTTAAATGTGAAGCTTTTGATACTCATCACGAATATGTGCTTCAGTCGGGACCCAGAAAACCTAAAAGGTCACTTCAAAGTCAGCTAATGAAATGTATCCATGGCCTTATGACTCCTGTCAGGAATTTCTTCCCTACCGCGCAACCTCCAACTTTCAGTAGTGGGACTATTTAGTTTGGAAATTCCAACTTACCTTGCTTCTTGAGCAATTCCATCAGCTTTTTGTTCTGAGAGCAATGTTAGACTACCTCCAAAAAGGGAGTCTGCACTCCCCTCTCCCCATCAAGCAGCTTTCTCTCAGATGGGGAGAAGGCAAAAAGGAAAAGAAACCAAATCCATACAGGTTGAAACTGCAGTTTTTTGGAGGGAAGTGCTGGTGTACAAGGCTCTGGCTCCATGTGCAGTGCTGAAGCACTGACACAGTCATTTGGATACAGACAGTACCAGAACACTCCTTGCTCTCCATTTCTCACTCCCCCATAAGATACTTGCTTGAAACTCTGCTTCTCATGTTGAGCAAGCCAAGATCTCAAACTCTTTCCTACCCTGTTTGATAACATCTGACTGCATCTCCTTCATCCCCCTCTGATGTAATCCATGGCAACCTGGCTGGTAATTGGATAATGCTTCAGCCTTATGGGGGTAAATGATCTGTGTGTGATAGGGCTGGAAGTATATTAATGGAAGCTGCACAGTTACACACTTGGTAAAATCGTTTGATAATAAGCCAAATACTTAATAGCAACAAATGAACTAACCCCCAAACCAAATGAGCATATCTAGCTACTTAAGCCTACTTTACATACCAAGTAGGAAGGGATAAACATTAGGATAGGTTTTCCTAAAATGCATTGACTGAAGAATACGGAAAAATCTTTCATTGGCAATTTTTGCAGAAAATGATGAATCACATTTTAAACAAAGGAAAAACAAGGCCCTACCTAATCTGAGTTTAGGTGCAAGAACCAAGAATTTCCAAGGAAGCTAACCAGAATAAAAGGTCTAATCAATCAGCACTTCCAACACAAGAAGACCACAGATCATGTCCTGAGGGACAGCACAAGCAGTCCAAGCAGAAGTTCATCCGGAATTTGACACAGTCACGACTTTTCCTGTTTATCCCTCCCTCCAAATGTGGCAGGCAGATGAGCCCTGTTTCTCTCAGCAGACTGGAAAGCCCAGAGAGCAGGAGCAGCAAGCTGACTGGCTCCAGAGTCCTGCTGCTTCTATCACAGCCTTGCCTGTCCTGAGGAGGCTCTAGGAGCACTGCTGGGTAAAGCTGCACTTACAGTGATGCCATGGGGCTGGGCTGATGGCAAAAAGAACAGACTCCATGAGATGTCTATACAGACAGGGAGTGCAGGCCAAGAGGGGTAACCCCTGCAGAGAGATACAAAGTGTCAGGTGTGCTTAACAGGAGACAATGCCTTAGAAATCCAAAAGCTGTGTGCTATTGAAAGAAATTTTAGGGAGGGGTAGGCTGGACAAAAGCAGCCTGCTGGAATTTAAGATGCAAGGAGTTGGGTAGGAATAAGAAGGAATCAACTGCATGGATAGTTACAATCAGGAAAATTGGTGCCCCAAGCCTGGGGGCAAATGAGAGCACACAGAGCCAGATCTTCTTACATTCAGGAGTAAGAGAAAAGAAGCACCTGATTTGAAGTACCACCAAAACCATGAATGCAAGTGAACAGGAAAGCACTCAGAGGTGGAGCACCTGATCAGAAGGGACTCACTGCAACAAGTCACCAATCAGGAGCCAGGATGCAGATAGCTCTTGTAAAAGTACCACGCAGGAAAAGGAACCTTGGTCTTCCAATGCAGACACACGCAAAAAAAGCTCTCTTCTTCTGCACATCTTCTGCAGTGGCCTGTAAAAGCAGCTGTTCCAACCTGGTAAGGTGTAAGTCACAAGAAAGGTAACACTCACTGAACAGATCACCCCTTTCCAGGGAGTGCGTGATCCCAGAGGTAAAACATGCACAGTTCTCATGTAACAAAAGGAAGCTTGGAGTGATTCCACCTTTCTAAAACACAACTTTCCCCAGAGCACACACCAGGGCAGGGCTGAGTGCTGTTTGCACAACCTAGCCCCAAGATTTTTCATCATTTCAAGTATATCTCAAGTTGTGTAATGAGTGTTGTATCATGCTCCTGTTACAAATTATAGAAGGAAAATAATGTGAAAGGTAAACATGGCTGAATGGCTACTGGACCATTTAACTCCAAGCATAAACAATGACAAACCATGTTCAGCACAGAAATCATAAGCAATGACTAAACTGGAAGCAGTGAATTTGGATTAAAAGTCACTGGTTTATTTCCAGTTAGCACACCATTGCTGTCTTTTATTCACAGTGGTGAATTCTGGTCAGGCCCACAGTTAACAATTAGATGTGGGATAAATAAGTTATTTCTTGATCCTGGCCTGCCAGTGAAGTTAAACCCTGAAGGCAAGGGCATCTCACTTCAACACAAAGTGACAAGTTTTAGACAGGTACCTGTCTTCATCTAGAAAATACATAAGGAAGTCTTGGGTCTTCAGGATGAGAAAGAGGGGGAAAGGGAGCAGAAAAGAGGAAAGACAATCCTCTTGTAGTCCAACAAAACAGTACAAGAGAAGGATGATACCCCTGAGCTGCAAAGGGACCCAGAATTTTACCAAGATCATACTAAGTTGGGTCATTTGATTTTTTAAAATTATTTTGTAATTCTACTTCAAATATCTGTAAACAAATAAAAAAGCTGCTTAGAAGCAGAGTTCCACTTGTTTCTTTGGGAAAGATTAGCTAAACTCCAAGTATTTCAGTTTACATTGCTTTAAGAGTACAGACACTGCTCTTTCAGTCCCCTTCCTCTAGGCAATTACCATTGTCTTTCTCTTGACATGATAATTGTAAAAGAGAAAAAACCCCAGCCATTACTAACATAGGTTACCCAAACCTCCTGTTAATTTGGCAAGGTTGGCCTTAATTCTAACAGCAATGGAATGATACCGTGGGTTTATGAATGCAGGATCCAGCTGATTGAAAGAAACCCTCCTGTCAAAATTTAAATGACTCATGATTTTTCCATGGCACAGAGAATATTTTAATTTACATAATTACACCTGTATAAACTATGCACTGACTGGTTCCCAATCTTGAGTTCACCCCAAAGTCTCCCTAAGGGAAAGGTGTCGCATGTGACAAGAAAGAGTTTATGAGTCTGCAAATGTGAAGGGCAAGAACAAAGAGCCAAATCACTTGCCCTTCCTACAGTGATAAATCCTACCTACTGCAACACCCTCAGCAAGCACTGATTATTCAGTGAAACAGCCAGTGCCACAGACACAGACTGCAAAATCCTCTTTTCAGAAGGTTTGAAATACTGCAATTGGAGCATCAACACCAACGAGTATTACCTGCAGCAACTATTACTATGTCAGCAAGCTGTGTATGGATCTTGAGCTGCTCTTTTGGGGTGTATCTGTGAGTAATGGTCACTGTAGCATCACCTGAAACAGAAGAGAAAAACAATGAATTGTCAGATGTAAAATACTATAAAAAGCACAGCATTTACCCTCAGGTGCAAATTACTTACTTTGGTACATTAACAACAGAACAGATGATCAGATTTGTCTTGGGATGTGACTTTTAAATCAGCATAGGCAGAACACTCACACGACTTGCTGCTCGCACATATGAAAAAACATTTGTTCTTAAAAATTCTTGCAGGATGAATTCATTTACATACTGTGGACTCAACTCCCTTCCATGGCTTTGTTACATTCAGTGGAACTCCACAAAGCAAACCCAGCACAGAACCCTGTGTGTTTTACCAAGCCCAGTGTATAGAGGGTGCCACAAGATTCAGCTGTTTGCCCCACACCAAAGCTTCAATACAAGACCACCAGTAGAAGCACAAGAAGCACACATCTTTCTGCTCCTGCAGAATAAACTCTCCTGGTAAGACATGAAAAACCCTTGTGATGTTTGATGGAGATATTGAGGAGAGACCACAACATGAGCAGTCACAGGGAGAGGGTCCAAAGCCTCCTACTGCATCCAACAGCAGATGTGGTATTCCCTTGAAGGCTGCCCAAGCAAGCAGCAAAGAGAACAGCTCTCCAAGAAGACTGCTTCCAACCTGCTCTGTAATTATTTTTACTGCACAGTGTTCAGGTGTTACATACCCCCATCTCTGCCTTCTACTCATCACAGACACCTAGGCCATGTTATTTGCAATTAAACTAAAACCTTTTGCCTTCTCAGACATGACCATCACATCTGCTTCCTTTGGAATGCATCTGACTGGTCTAATATGTGCCTCTCATTAACTCTCTCAGGCATCTCATCTTCAACCTTTCTGCGCCCAGGCTTCACTGCTCTCTCCCCTCATTTTTTACCCCCTTCTTCAGGCTTTACAGTGCACATCATCTCCCCAAAGACAAGCAGATCAAAACGTTTGCAGAAAAGTACAAAAACAGAAAAGTACAGGCTAAAAAAATAGCCTGTATTCTTCCAATACCTGCTTTAAGCAAAAGAAGTATGTCTCACCCAAAATCACAATCATGACTCATCATAAAGGTTGAGAAAAACCAATGGACAAAAGCCAAAGTTACAAGGTTATCTCTAAGGAATAAAATTGGTGCTAATTTGCCTGTAAGATTTTAGTGAGGAATGTGTCTGTAGTCAGCTCCTGAAACCAAGTAACTGCCTTCACTACCAAAAATGAAAGGAGAAAAAAAAAGAAAAAAAAAAAAAAAGCCCCTACCTTGAGAATAGCAGTCCAGAAGCTTACAGACACCTCAGAAAGGGGAGGTTTTCCATTTATTTGTGATCATGCCCAAACAGAAAATAAACAACTATTTTTACACTGCTACTTCTGCTGAAAGAAGAGGAATATATTTAACAATTAAGATTCCACATCATACTCCCAAGCCAATTCCCTAGCTTACAAAACAGAGATAGTCTCTTGACTACACAGAACAATATTTATTTTGGAAGGGGTTCACATAGCTTTTCCATCTGATCAGATATTGCCACCTGCAGGACATGAGGGCATCTACATATGAAACATCACAAATTATGACAGTCCCCAACTTGAAATTTTTGTTCATAATCTAGAAAGAAAACCAACCAAAATGCACAACAACAACAAAAAAGTAGTACCAGGTATACCCACCCCTTGCATCATTTCTCAATTTAAAAAAAATTAATCAAACCAGCCCAGTTGATGCAAAAACCTCTTTCCTGACTGATAACCTGAGAAAGTTTTTTCAGCATCTCACTGTAGGTCTTCTCTGGTCCCTATCCTCCTGAGTTTCAAAAAAGAAAAAAAACCTGAAACCACGGCCTGGCCTCCCTTCCTTTCCACATGCAATCCAGCCCAACCTCTTGCTGCTCAAAGCAGAAATTAAACCCAAATGCAGAAGATTAAGCAGATCTTCAAGGAGAGCCCCATCTGTGAGTCAGGGAGGAAAACTCCACCAGATCACCCCAAATACAGAATTATTTATCATCATGTACAAAGCACAGACATTTAATGCCAGCTCATTATCAGAGGAGTACACGTTCCTTTGTTTTCTCATTGCCAGCTATTTTATACTGTGTGCCAGCACTCAGCAGACTGGAAAACTATGAAACTACCTGAGAAATAAATCCATTTCTTCAGATTAGGCAAAGAACTTCTGTGAGTTAACTCTTTCTGTATCCAGGCTCCAGTGTCAGCAAGGGACTATGAAGATTCTTCTGTCCCTGCACCAAATATGTGACATACCTAGAACCACTGGCAACGCCAGCGAGCAGGGCTTCAACCAAAGTCTTCTGACATGTCAGGAACCACAACTTTGGCAGAAGACCATGAAGAACCACAAAAATCTCATGGACTGACCCCCCAAAACAAGCTGCACTACCAGACAGTTAAACAGGAACTAGAAACCCAGGATACAGGACAACAAAACTGAGCCGTGGATCCAATTCACTCAAAAGCTGGAAGCTGCAAACAGTATTTAGTTACAGCAAGAAACTGCCCATGCAGCTGTTGAGGGTTTTGCAACAAGCTGCTGAAAGCATCACAGGTCACCAGGTCCCCTAATTTCCAGGTGGGAAATGTGTAAGTAGTCTGTAACATGACCTTGCGTTCTACCAAGCCTACTTCAAACATCAGCTACACTGCCAATAACAAATGTCACCCAATATTTGCAGCAAATGGCAAAAATGCTACTAATTTCCGTGGGAATGAGGATGAGACCAGAACTATGCAGCAATGGTAATTACAATCCAGGCACTGAGAGAAGTTCCAAATAGCAACTTTCCCACAGAGGCTGAATGGAAAAACCAACTCTATGATTAGTATAAAGCTTTTAGCATTTTATTATATTAATAACAGATTTCACTCTGCTCCAATTAAACAGGCCTGGAATTAAATATCCATGTTTACCTCATTTGTGGATACCACCACGGCAGTTTCTAACATCAAAATGAAGTGGCAAAAGGGCAGCATTCTATCTAAGCTATATTTGTTTTAATTTCTACAGCACTATTTTAGCAGCACATGTAGGCTTCTGTAATTAGGATTCCTTAAAAATATTTCCACCACAGAACTCAATTTCCACAGGGATATAAACTGCACTGCAGAAACAGCCCCCAGGCCAACAAGTAATCATGGTACTCACACTGTAGAGTTCCTTGGTGGGTCATTCAGGTACTTTTACAAGCAACACCTCACTGACATAGCACAACTCAAGGGTCATGCCACACCTTTTTGTTTATTCATACTTAAATCTGTGTGTGTACATGTATACATATGTGTACATGTGTGCTCATTGGTGTATGACCAACCAAATCAATATTGAACAAGCATGAGGGTAAGGCACATAAACAGCTACACTGTAAAAACATTATGGGAGCCTCTGCAGCTCTTCAAGGCTACCCTCAAGGATCAGTTGAAATAGCAGCTGTTTCAAACGGAGGAAGAAGTGATGACTTAACACCAGAAAAAGCCAAGTCCAGAAACTGCTCTCCTGAGAATAAGGCAGGAAATGTGTTAGCAAATTTATTTTCTTGGTCTGGTTGAAAGTATTCACAAGTGTGGCAAGCTTGCTCTTTAATCTGAGTCCTCCAGCCAGCTTTATTTTCAGGACTTCACAAATGGAAACATTGGGATAACATTCCTGGACTTACCTCCAGGCCTTTCATGCTCTCCATCAGTATGTAAAAGCATTGAAATAGGCATTCCAACATTTTTGGATCTTCCAGCTACAAGAACATTTTTTCCAAATGTTTGTATTCCTTGCAGGAAAAAAAAAGTAAAAAATTATATTCCAGTATTTTGATATATCTAAACCCTTCTTCTCAATCCCCATGACAGAATTATTTATGGTTGTGGACTGCTGACATCAACATGACCTAAAAATCCACAAGGCTGAATTTGAGGGATGAATCCACAAAACAACAACTTTCAGCTTTCACCTCAGAGAAAGAAAACTGACAGCTCATTCAGGGTACCTGAATCACCCTTAGCAAGGACTTAATTTCCTCGCTCCAGCCACAACAGGATGTACTTATGTCTACCAGTAAGAACATGTACATTGTAAATAAAAAATTACAACTATTGAAAACATATGCATTTTTTCCCCTTCCAGTACTGAATTAAGTGCTCCCATTTTTTGTTCTTGTTTTTCCCAATTCTCTACAAGAACTTACACATCCCATCTTTTATTTGACAAATAGAACAACAACAGCACAGAAAATTTCCTGCAAAATTATGAAACCCAGAAAGTTACTGAAGTGTTCCACCAAATACTACTGTCCACACTTAAGTAATAGCTGTGCTAATGGCACAAGTGGCCATCTACTTGGCAGCTCCTTATTCAGATTAATACTCTAAATGTTTGTTCTTCAATCAGCCCAACACATTTAGAGAACCTTGACCTTTTAGCTCACACCTGAGTTGATCCCTTGTTCACCTCCCAGGATAAGAAGAGTTCCAGGAGAGGAGAGTCTCTTACCTGTCCGTTTTATGATCTCCCAGACAGCAGCAGCGGTGGCAGGGATTATGGAAGGCTGATCCAGACACAGCCGCCCAATGTTCATGATATGGAACCCATCCACATCCTTCTCAGGGGTGATGGCATTGCAGACTGTCCGTTCATCTATGTGATCTAGGAGACACACAGCCCTCAGCTACAGCTCCTTCAGGTGCCATCAATGCATCATCACACAGCCCAGACCTGGCCAGGGTAATCAATTACTGCTCTTGATTGAGCCAGCTACACTGCCCCTAAAGGCAGTTTTACCTTTTCAAACAAACAGTTTACTGAAGATTAGGTTAAGCCATTTGTCACAGTGTTGATACAACAGACTCTGTCAAAATATGAGAGCCCAGTATGCAGCTGAGAATGAGGACAGTAACTATTAGAAGAAATATTTAAGGAAGTCATTTCTGCAACACAGAATTCTTAAACATGAAATGACTCAAAAAGCCCAACAAACCACCACAGGAGAACAGTTATATGCATTTTTCTGGTTTCTAAGCCCACAGAGGACACATGAGCTAATTTTTAAACAAATTAATGGAAATCTCAAGCTGAAGTAACTTTGAAGGTCTAGCTTTCCTTTTCCAACAACACCTTTTTTTAGTCAACTGTTCATCAGTAGGACCAAAACATAGCAAACAGTTTGGTGTCTTCTTGCTTTTTTAATGAAGTACACTATTGTTGATCTCAAAACACTGAATATGGCTTAAATGGCATTGCCTGCACAAATTTTGTATTCATATGTACTCATACTAAATATTTTTCATATGCACTGATGATACCCAGCTCTGTAACTCCTTAAAACTTACACAGCATAAACATTAGTACCAATTATGAAAAAAACGTGTTTGCCAGACCTCTCCCTGCAGAGTTACAATCCCAAGCATAAACCTGGAATACATAACACCACAGAGGAACAGCTCCACAAAACATCCCATACCAACCCAAAAAGCAAACTGCTTAATGACTGACCCACGGCCTGCTGAGAGCCCCAAAATGGCACTGACTGACCCACAGCCTGCAGTAACCCAGTCCTGTTGAAAGGTTTGGTCTGGGAGAAAGTCAAGCTGACCCCCAGAGCAGGTAAATGGGGCAAGAGCCACTGACCCTCTATAAGTTAATGACCTGTTTGTTACTGAGCCTCCTGGGAATTTGGTTGTTCCTCCCCAGCACCAGTAAGAGTGAACCAAAGTACTTCCCCCTAAACCTGACAAGTAGGCTGGGGGTTTATCATTTCCATCTCAAAGCAATTGCTTTTTGTATCCCCTACGTGACTCACAACCTGAACAGAATCCTGCAACTGTGCGGCAAAATGTCCCAGTGTCCAAGTCAGAGAGCACTACAGAAGGTTAAAAAAAACCAAATAAAGGAAAATAAGCATCAACAAGGAAATTCAGATGTTGCCAGTAAAATATTTTAGAGACATAAACAGGATGTTTTAATTCAGTAGGTTTGTGTGGTTTTCCATTAAAAGGAGCTAGATAATTAAAAGATAAGCATGCTGTAGAACTTAAACCACGCTAATCTCCTGTTAAAAGACTTCCAATTAGAAAACCCCAAGAGTTAAACCAGGCTGCTAAGATTTACAGTTTAATTCTCCACTTTATGATGAGAGCAAGTTTGCTTTTGAATCCTAATGAGAAAAGACTTTGGAAATTAAGATATTAAGTACATTGATGAAAGAGTCTCTCAGAACTGAAACTTGCCTCACAGAGACTGAAAGCAACCATAACCCTGTTTTTATGTCACCTTGGGAATTAAAGAAAACAAAACCAAGGAAGAAATTTGGAGTAACCTATTAAATGGCTTTTGCAAAAGAGAACTTGTTACCCTTAGGCAAGTCAGTTGTTCTTCCAACACAAACTTGGCAGCCATGCTTTTCCTTGTGCCTAGGATGAGAAGAACACTGCTCTGAAAAACACCTCCTCTACACTGTCTTTAGCTTCCCAAAACTACACAGATAATGGACACAATTATGTTAAAGGAAAAAAAATCATGCTTTACATGGATATTTTCAACATTCAAAATTGATTTGCAGAATTCCAGAACAAGGTTTACAGTACTGGGAGGAAATGCTGCTGCACAGCTTGGGACAAGTGAGCTGTGAGCCAGAGAAGAAGCTCCCACATGCCTTAATTTCCAGAGGAACAAAATAATTTCTTAATTATCTTACTGTCAGTCTCATAAAACATGAGCTGATACCCATACAAATTTCCTTGCTGTCATTACAAGCCACTCCCCTGGCCAAGTTACTCCCTACACTTCTCCTCTCCTTTTTGGCTGAACTTACAGGACTACACTGGGCATCACTAGCCAAGCATTTGCCCACAGAGAAACTCCTATTTACACAACAACTGTCTCTGGTGCTAGGACATGGAAAATAAAGACTGGTTTTCAAAAGGGAAGAGTATTAAAAATAATAACATAGCACAAAAGGCATTTGAAAAAAAATACTGCATGGATTTTCATCTTCTGTTGCAAATATATTAATATTTTGTGGCCCTCCCCCAGGCAACTCAAACCAATAAAAAGGAAAACGTCTAGAAAACTATCACAAGAAATGCACTCAAAAGGTGCACAGAAAAGAATTTCTCCTGAGGCAAAGATTACAATCCTCAAAGTTAAGTTGCCCCAGCTTACAATAGTGCAACAGAACAAAGCTATTTCTGATTCCCTTTTTAACCCAAAATTGATCAAAAGCCACACCCTATGTAGTTTACTGCAAAAAAGCCCCAGACCCGACACCACAACCTCAGTTCTGGAATAAGCAGCCTCCACTGACAGAGTTTTCGCAACTTCTGAGCTTTGTCTCCTTCATTACAACATTACAAGGCAAATAAAATTTGGAAAACGAGCTAAATTAACTTTTAACCCTTTCGTTTATTAAGTTCCTTAGAGGAAAAAAAACCACTTAACTGAGTTATATTGTTATGGAATAACAATATAACTCACAGAAAGAGCTTACTGAATATTTCCAGTTCATGAAAAATTGCACATTTTACTATACAGACACTGCAATATTGACAGAGCTCTGCTATGGATTAACTTGTTCTAAAGCTTTTCCTACCACAAGCAACAGCTATGCCTGTCTGATAGGTTGGAGGGAGGCTAATTAGTCTTCATGTAGTTATTGTGTCACTTCTTGGGAGGAATCTCCAAACAATTTTAGGACTAATCCTTACTTAAGGACTTGAGCATTTCAGCACAGAAGCATCAAACAGTTCAATTGACACAGCTAGAATTATCATCATGCTTTTTTTCTTTCCTCACGTTGACCAGGTTTAAATTCACTACATTTTGAGACTAAAAGAAGTTCTGAACTGTGCACTGATGAAAGCAGACTTTAGCAACCTGATATTCTCCTCATAAATGCACTTCTATGAGTGGTACCTAACCACTCCCCTGAGTACCCTCACCAGCAAGACACATGACACCTCCCATTTTTAGGGAACACTGGGAGTCCAGTGTACAAGCCTGCTTCCTTTGCTGCAGACTTCAGACAGGATGATTGCCATCCCCAAGCTGCTGGTGCTTCATCTTCTGCAGTTCTCATGGCTGCAATTAAACTTTGTTAATTACATCACCTGCTGCTGCGAATCTCTGGCACTGGGAGAGATGCTCCTCCAAAGGAAACTGTCCACATTCCATCAGCTCCTACCTCGAAGGCCAGGATGTGGCTCCTGACTTGTATTATACTCCCACCTTGTGGCGAATTTATTTCACTACATGGCCCATTTTGGGCAGCTTTCATGTACCACCAAGTGCAAACCCTCCTCACCATGAGCACTCCTGTTTATTACAAATACAACCAAAGCATTTCTTCCTTCATAATACTCATTTTGGCTGTTTTATAGATAAAAAACATTTTCAGTTTAGTTCTTTATTTCTCTGCAAGTTTTATCCCTGCAAAAATACCACTTGGCCAGCTACTCCCCAGTGATATTTTATTATAAATTAAGAGAAGGTAAATAAAAACCCCAAAAATTTAGTCAAGGCTTTTAGGACCTTCGCACAATGCTCACCTGGAACACCAGGGCTAACAATGAAAATAAATGTTGAATGTTTAAGGCAAAACCTGGAATCACTATGAGAAAGGCTATAGCATCACTTGCTACATACCATAATATTGCATGATATAGAGGATGAAAGCATAAAATTCAAGGCAAACCAGTGCAACAATCTCAAAAAAAAAAAATTAAACTGGATAAATTATGTGAAATGCCTTGAAACACCACTGTGACAGATCATTAAAAAAGGCAAGTCTTACATATGAAATTTTTTTTCTTCAAAATGAACTGCATATTCAACAAAAACCACCTCACCTAACCCTTCCTCATGCAGGTCCTCTTTCAAGAGTTTCTTATGGCCCTAAGGTACACTTGCAACCCAAAACTATTCAACTCTTTCCTCTTATATGGACTGTGTAATACGAGGAGTGGGACAAAGATGTCACACACCTGGGAGAGGTAGCTGAACTAATAAACCACTAACTCTGGAATCCTTGTTGAGTTTTGCTGTCATATCCAAGAGCTCTTCCTGTGAAATGTCTTTAGGCCTCAGTATGATCTCACTAGAAATGCCTGATAAAAACAAAAGACAGAGGACATGTCAGAATAAGAATACAGAGTTATCAGCTTAGTTATTTAGTCCAAAAATCAGTCTGGTTCTTAAGAACTGTTTCCAAACACAAAATGAAACTTACGGCACCCATTCAAATCACATTAAAACTACTTTCTCCATACAGCCATGCAATTCCTTAGGTCCATCAGAGAACACGTGGAAGAAATTGGTGCAAAATTAAATTAAGACACGAAGGGGATTCCTCCTGCTTTATTTTTTTCTCTTTAAAGCTTACTACAGGAACACTCATATGACATACCCACAGCTGCAGCTGCCTTTATCTTGTTCCTGACATAGATGTGACTGGCTGGATTGTCTCCTACCAATATGACAGTGAGGTGAGGCCTCTGGTTCCCAGCAGATATCCACGATTCCACATCCCTTCGAACTTCTTTCAAAACCTGGTGTGCAAGCCTCGTCCCTGAGATAACAGCTGCTTCATCACTATAAAGACAAAAAGGTACACGGTATTTAGGGCTAAAATTGCACCAGGAAGAAAGCACCTTCAAGTGTGTACTCTACCATTTTCAACACTCCCAAATGTTTTGATTCATGTAGCAGTACTTCAAATATTACTTCAAAAACACTAAAACACTACAAACCCACACAGGAAAAGGAGTGCTTTCCCACTTGTCACAGTTGAGATGGCCACAATACACAAAGTACCACCATATAATTGCAGATAGCTTTCAGCATTCACCCATACAGAGTGACCCCATACCTCTCCAGATCACTCCATGCCCTTACCCACACAGAGTAACAGCACACAATCCAGAAGGCTACAAGCCTCTGTTCTTTCTTGTTCAACCTTTCATACCCTCATGGTTCATGCACTGCACCTGTGTGCCCTCTGCTCCCTGTGGTGCTTGGTCAGTGCCCCTGGACACTCCGTGGCTCATTACCCTCAACAATGCTCACCTGCTGCTCAGAGCTGGAGCCCATTGGGGATGATGCTCGGCCACAGCCCCACTCCCAATTCCACAACCTGTGTGCCCACATCCACTCTCTTACCTGAAGAGTGTGGATGTGCCATCAGTGCACTTGGAAGAGAAGCTCACCAGCCACAACTCATTTCCCAACACACACAGCCAGCCACGTAAATGTACATGAACTCCTGCATTTTGGAATAAAATATGAGGATGGTCTTACTCCCTTAAGTTTTACTGGTTTAAGGAAGGTTACCCATTTCCCTCCTCAAATTTCCCTAAAAATTGATTTGACAAAGCATTATTTACACTATTTTTTGTCCAAGCCTCAAAGATATAGTTCTCATATTTCATTGCTGATGGGAAGGGAGTCAGTACATAGCACTTCTCACATCTGTAAAATATAAAAATAGCAAATACTGAAATATGTTGATGCTTCTTAGGTTTAGAACCTAGATAAGTCCTTTGATGGATATATCACACAAGAACTGCATGAACAAATAAATCACTGCCTATACAGAAAGCTTACACTGCAGCAGGCTATTCAAGACATTGAAACTAAGTCATGAATAATTATTATTGTAAATTTTACACACATTAAAACATTGACCAGGTGTTGGTCAATGACAGGTTTAATGATAGATTTGTGACAGATTTCATTACCAAGTTAAATGACAGACTTAATATGTCACTGCACCATCCTGTCCCACTGTTATCCCACCCACCCAGGGATGCTCTTACTCTGAACCCATCATGGATTTACCACAGAAAATTCTTCTTGTTTATGAACCCGGTGACTTGCAGGCCATGACACAAACTAAGATCTATTTTAGATCAATTTGTACTCTAAAAGCCCGAGATCACATCCAGCATCACAACAGGACATGTTCCACACCCCATAAAATCCTCTGGAAAATTATTATGCAGGGACATCTACATTTTGCAGAACTGGAAAAAACAGTTACTAGCAACGTAGCACAGAAGTAGGATACGCTCTGGCCCAGAAATACAGCTGTTTCTCCCAAAACTGACAGAATCAATACTCAATACACAGAACATCCAAGGGGTCAGATGCTTATTTCAATGGCTGTTCAGCTCACTGATCTTTTCATTCTTGAAATCACAAAGACAGTGCCCTCAGCATTAGCACTTGTGATGTGCTGAACCTCTTTAGTCAGCTTTCAGGCAGGTCTTAACACAATTACATGTAAACGAAAAGGTTCATAAGCAGGAGCTCAAACAGACCCTCCCATGCACACCCAGGCAAGAGCTCAGAGCTGCAGTGCTGCAAAACCAACACCAGAATCCATTTGCAGACAGCACAATAAATTAAATGCATGGGGTGATTATTGTCAGGACACTGATCCCCAGTGCACCAAAGCATGCCCCGTTTGCCACCAATTGATGAATATACACGGTAATTCTGTATAAATTCCCTGACAGGCTCTTTAAAGTATCAGGAGCAAGCAAACTCGCAGACTCCCTTCAGGGAGGGGGCAGGAAGGTCACATAGCGAGGGGTTTCTTCAATTTCAAGGGCACCGCTTAAATCCCCAATGGATCACCAAGGCGAGGGCCACGGCCCGCTCGCCCCCCCCTCTCCCGCTGCTTCTTCCCCTTTTCCCCTTGGAAGAACCGCGGAACGCAGCGGGGATCGGAGGGCATCCGTCCCGAAGGGCGATCGCGGGGGGCCCGAGCCCGCTGATCCCTCAGGCGTTTCCCGCCCTTTGGACACGCCGCGCCATGAGGGGTACGAGGATGAGGAGGATGAGAAGGAGGGAGGAGAATGACGAGGAAAAAGATCCGATCGGCCCAAGGTACCTAGCGGCGCTGCGGGGGAAGCTGCTGGCGCTGCGAGCGAGGGTTCGCCACCGCCTCAGGGGCACCCAGCCCCGGCGCAGCAGCGCGGCAGAGGAGGAGGAGGCGGAGGAGAGGGACAAGGCTGTGGTGGCCGCCGCCATTTCGGTCGGTCCCCACCGACGGAAGCGGCGCAGCAACCAAGCGACGGCAGGCGGGGCCACCGCCGGCACCGGGATCGCGGCCAGAGCGGGCGGAGCGCGGGGACGGCTGGAGCTGAGGGAAGGCAGATGCTGAGGAATCTGCGTGACAGGGATTTGGACCCTCAGGGTACAGCAGGAGCCGCGCAAAAGATGCCCCAAACCTGGGCTTGGCTGCAGCCTTTGGCTCCCGTGAGCTGCTGTTCCCGTCGCAGTTTGGTGTGGGTAGACACGGAGCTCCACGGACAAGCATCGCTGCTGCTCCTCATAGTTATTCGCCGCACCCCCGTGTTTTCTGAGGGGAAAACTCAGGGAATCGCTTGCAGCTTGCATATTGGTGACTTCTGTCATGTTCAATGGCAGATTTTATAGTAAAAAATCGGCTGTGCAGAGCGGAAGGAGGAAACAAAACAAGATCTATCTGAAATAGCATTTAAAAAGCATGCCAAAATAACAGTACTCTCACCAGCCTACTGACAGCGGGAAAATTCCTTTATAAAGCTGGGAAAAGCTTTGGAAAGATGTGTCAACTTAGTGAGGCTTCATGTTCTGCTATGGTCGTGACAAGGATTCTGACGAGTTAAATGCTTCCAAAAGCAATGTGGCTCAGGTGCTTCCACAGACAATGTGCATGCTGGGTTTTAATGTCTTGCCCTTTCTAAAATATTATTCTTATCAAATTATACCCTGGATAAAAAGATGCCATTGTCCGCCCGTCCCTCAGCACCGCCCGTCCCTCAGCATCTCCCGTCCACCGCTCACTCGGTTCTGCTGCTTGTCCCGGCCCTTCCCCTCGTCCCGTGGTTGCGACGCCCCTTCCACCTGTGGGGTCCAGCCGACGTGGCTGCGGCCACCTCAGGGCTCTTCTCCCTCTGCTCCGCGCTGCTGCTCCCGGCCTGGGCGCCGCTGAGGGGCTGGCCAACCTTCCTTCGCCTTCCTCCCGGCGCCCCGGGCCGGCTGCAGCGCCAGCAGCGCCCCTCGCAGCGCCGCCAGGTACGCGGCGCCCACCGGGGAGGTTTCCGCCTCGCTCCTTCCTCCTCACCCTCCTCACCCTCCTCGTCCCCCTCACGCTGAGGCGGGAAGCGCGCGGCGGGCAAAAAGGGCGGGAAACGCCTGAGGGGACGGCGAGGAGCATTTGATCAGTGTTTGGTGAGGGACCGAACGTGGCACAAATGTCTTGGTTTGACTTTCAGAAGACACAAAAGTTCAGCCAGGGAAAGGTAGAGACTTTCAAATTTCAGACACAAACTTTGTGCTGTTAAAAAAAACCCCAAAACCAAAAACCAAAAACCAAAAAACCAATCGGATTCAAAGAGTCGGGAACTCTGCAGCTGTGGGACATTAATGCTACAGCTTGTCTAATTCCCCACGAAGAATATGGTAACATTGCGAAGGTATAGAAGGGAATACCAACTAATATGTGCATAACTCTTTGGAGTTTATGCAATTTTCAAGAGGCTTTGGAAAAATACACTTTCAATAAGGAAAATGCCACTGTTATGAATAAGAAGCTTGACTGGGCCAATATTCAAGCAGCAATCAATTTATTATTTAATAAGGTAAAATATGAGCAATACAGTGCTGGGTACAGTGGGGGAAGTTTTCCCTCCAACTGCACACTGATAATTGATGGTTACAGGTATTTATAGGGGTACTCATCAGTTTTTTTCAACAGTTTCTATTTCTAATTTTTACTCATCAGCAATTTTTATTCCAAATTATTACATCACAATTCTATACACTATTGTGATTTTAATTTCTCAGGATGTATTTTCAAAGGAGTATCCCCAGATGGTGATGGTCCGGTTTCCGAAAGAAGAAAGACGAATCCCATCTGGTGGAGTCCAGCTCCCCAGATGTGTCCACCTTTTAATTGCAGAGACTATAAATCTCATAACAGTGATGTCCAGCTTCCCTTTGGTTGAAACAATAAATCCTTGAGGTGATGTTCATCTTCCTTTCTCAAACTGTTTTTCTCTGCTTCAATAAGGTGTGAGATAAGCATATTTCCTATATATATATATTCCAAAGCTATAGTTTCAAGGATACAAGTAATATTCTAAACTTATACTTCAAAAGGTTCAAAAAGTTATTATTGCAGAGCTTTTATTTTTTTTTTTTTTAAACGCAAGCAAAAAGCAACATCCTTAACACCTTAATTCCAATGCTCCTAAATCAACCAGGGGTAATTGCAAACAAAAGATAGGTTCAAAGGCCTTTTTCCATGCTTTATTTTCCTCAGTTATTATTAGAATTCGCAACTATCCCATTGTCGATGTCCACACATTTTGCATTCACAAGTGCACACTTTGCCTGTTTGTACCTGACACGAAACACAGCTTTGCATCTCACAGTCCCCCACCTGCTTGTATAAATTTTCATTTATCTTACTCATTAGTGTCTGGGCTTCAAATCTGGCCAAAACTTTGGAAGCTTTCTCTTTTTGGTCTCTTTTCTTTAATTTCATTATTTTGGTTATCTTAGCTCTTTTCTCCAATCGACCAACTTCTCTGGTAGCCATTTCCGAGTCGGTTACTGCAATCTGCATGCTTTGGATAACTGAGTGGATTAGTTGGATAAAACATGGAATAAGGCAAGGTAGAAACAATAACCCAGCCAATGAGCACAATATCAGGAACTCTATTTTCTTCCACTAAGCTCTTCCTCCAAGCATCTGGTCCCACCATGAGGCTTGAAGAATGGAATTCCTTTTTGGACAGGGACATGAGCCACCCTTTTGATCTCTGCTGCCAAATCCCGGATGGTTTCTCCGTAATCATCAATCTCAACACAGCATTCTGACTCATTGAATTTCCCACACACTCCCCCTTCTTCGGTGAGCAAATAGTCCAAGGCTATTTGATTCTGATACACAAAAGCCCGCACCTGAGTGTGCTGCCAGCTTAACAAGTCCAGGCCCTCTGAGGAGTGATTCGAGACTACCTCTACCACTGCTTGCAGTCTGATCAACCTATTCAACAGGTAAATTGGGGTCCTATATCCCCAGCTTCCATCTTGAGCCCAAGTGGCTGGCCCGTAATAATCTATTATTCTTTCCGCCGGCCACTCTTCTTCTCTCCATTTTTGGTCCCTTTCTGCCCTTGGAAACTCCAGTTTCAATTCTCTTTTTCTCCCTTTTAAGGTTTTCATATAAGGGTGCTCCTAACAGGTTACTCTTGGACTTTGGTAGTACAAAGAAGGAGGGTTGTATAATCCCTAAAGTACAGGATCCTTTCCCTCTACGGGACAGTTCACTGTAAGCTTTTTGCCCACAAATCCAATATATACCATTTGGGTCTTTCCATGGGTCATTTACAGCTTCAGGTTTTTCCCAGTACATTCTTAGGGTCTCCAGGGATTGGTAAGGGTTAGCTCCAGGACTTTTATGCCAGCACAACTTTGTTTTGTTGTTCCATTTGCAGTTTTTCTCTTTATTTAAGCTCCAGTATCTAGCAGGAGGTGTTGGCTGCCAAGTTCTAGCATTATTGTTTGAATTCATGGCTAAAGTAGACATGCAGGGAGTATACCCTACCACTTCAGTATATTTTCTCCCCTCCTTGCTGATGCAAACTGTCTCAATTATTAGATGATTCAAAATCCATCCTTCAGGCCACTTCAATGTTTTGGAAATTTGAGTATGGTTCCATTTTAGGAATTGCTCTGGAGCTAGACCCTCACCTCTCCGCGGCCACTTTTTGGCTGATTTTAATCCTCCACAAATCCAACAGTTGGATAACTCTAATTCTGTGGCAATTTCTTGCATTAGATCTACAAAAAGGTTCTTATTTGAAGTCAGAAAACCCCAATCACCATATTGCTGTTCTAACTGTTTGTATTTTTCACTCAATTTCTTTAGCTTTTCTTGTTCTGCCCGTTTCTTTTTTGCTGCTGATTCTTGCTTTTGTAATTTTTGTGTCATTTGTTTTATTTTACTCTCTGGGTCTCTTCCTTCTCTGTCTCTTGCTAAACAAAAGAATTTGGCGTATCACAGACAAATTTGTTCATCATCATCTTTGAGAAGGTTGGTTAACACAGGTCCATCCTTGATAGAAACCTTGACATGTTTTAAATTTTCTCCAACCCAGTATAATTTTCCACCCATAGTGCACATCTTTAATTGGTTATGGTCATAGCACACTTCACTAGCATGGGAATGTGCCATGAACATTGATTCCATTTTTCCCCTGAACCAGACAGTGTGATTGCATTTGTCACAGACAGCTGGAGCAATAGGCTCTGATCTTGCAGCTTGCTCGTGGATTTTGTGGAGTTCAGGAGTGAGGCTAAGGCCCATTGCTTGGGATGCCATGATCAATACAGTGAGAATAATCCTCAAGGCGTTTAACTCTCTACCTCTCTCAAGGCCCCTTGGGTTGCATCCAAGGGCCGAGATGTAGATCTTCTCGGTAGCAGAGTTTATACCTTGGGATTTAGTCACTGATATTTTCTGTTTCATTTTTGCCTTTTGCTTCATGAGCCTTCAGATCTCGATTTATCGTGGTCATGGTCCGATTCTTTTTAATTTAGGCCAATTGGCCCCTGAGTTCGGAGGATATGCGACTACAGTAGGGTTGGTGTATGTGCCTCCTCCTCTTCCAGCGATACTTGGCTTCCTGCCACTCTTTTGCTTTAATTTGATATTCGTCTGGTATCCAATTGCCCTTGTCACACTCTACTTTTTCTAATTTGGCCTTTGGTACTTCCTGCAAATCAATTCCTACTCTTGTTCCGTGTACCCAGGCTCTCCACCAATCTTTATCTCTTGTTTTAATATATCCTTTCCTTACTGCAGCCCACAAAGTTTTATCAGTTTCTTTCTCTATTTCTTTCATACAATTACAGCAGAGAGCATTAGGGACCTGTCCCCTTGGTAGGTGTGTATACCAAATTCTTCACACTCTATACACTTAAAACAACCCCATGGATAACACAGTTTGGAGTAGCACATTCTACCTCTCGTGAGTACAAT